AAAAGAACCGATCGTTTTGTTTTGTAAGAATCCATGCACTTTGGAAATTCTTCCCGAGGTGTTGCCACGTCCACAAATATTTGACGTGGGCTCCAGCGGAAGATTGATTTTTTTGTATACTTTTGGTAAAACGGACGCCCGGACGACGACGGCCGGTGGACGTCCGGGATATTTGCGTAGGCATTTTAGCGTAGTTAGATTAAGCTAGCCTCCACCGGGATAGACTCTGACGTGGTGTCGCATTTGAAGGTCTTATGTGCACAGGTGAAGGTGGTTAAATTCAGCTACATGTGGACGATAAATAACTTCAGCTTCTGTCGCGAGGAGATGGGGGAGGTGCTCAAGTCGTCTACGTTCTCAGCAGGGGCCAACGACAAGTTGAAATGGTAAGAGCCGCCGGATGGTCGACCCGATTCGCGACCTACCGAGAAAGCCCGACGAGAGAATTCCACAAATCCGGAAAAGAAAAAAATTGTTTAAGATTCTTTGCATTGCATACGAACCGGGTCGATCGTGAGTTCCGCGTTGACTTTTCCGACGCGACCGGCGGATTACAGGGAGCGGGAGACAATTCACGTCTGACACCGTTCATTTGGCGCTAATGAATTTGATGAATTTGTCGGATTTACTTTGTAAAATGGCGGACTCGAGATTGCAAATTGTGGCCTTTGTCCGCCGGTTCCGTAGTCCGGACATGATCGGTCGAGCCTTAATCGTTCTGAGTCAGCACGTTCGACGCGTTTGTCCACGTGGAAAAACAGAGTATTGGAAGTCCTAGAAATGCGAGATGCCCACATTTAGTGTCTGAATGAGCGGTGAGAATACGAGCTATTGTTTCGTCGACCGTACTACATTCCCGGCTTGATCATTTTCCGCTTCGCGTTTGGAATGGCACGCTCGAAGAGAAACGCGTCACGAGCGCGACGTCGATCTACGATCCACGATCGGCTTTCAAATTGAGGGAAGCTCTCTTTGGGGAAAGATAAATTTCTCGGTGCAATTCGCGTCGAATTCGCGGGGAACGAAACGAGGAATCGCCGTCGAGACGGCAGCAGTCGTGTCAATTGATGCGCTAATTGGTTTCTAGGTGCCTGAGAGTGAATCCTAAGGGTCTGGATGAGGAGAGCAAAGACTACCTGTCGCTGTATCTCCTTCTCGTTTCATGCAACAAATCCGAAGTCAGAGCAAAGTTCAAATTTTCTATTCTTAATGCCAAAAGAGAAGAAACCAAAGCAATGGGTAAGTCGGCAGAGAACGTTACGTGCGCAGTTAATGTGTCAGCTTGTGTACACGTGCGGATGCAATGCAGGGTATTTTAAAGATTTTCGTCGACTTACGCGATTAACGCGATTAATTTTCACGACGACGAGAGTCGACTTTCAGCTGCGGTCGGCAGTCTGTGTAACGATACGAACTTGACTTGGAATGCGATCGAGAGACGATAGATACCACTTGAACGAGCCTTTTTCGTTTTATTCTTGCAGAGAGCCAGCGTGCTTACAGGTTCGTCCAGGGTAAAGATTGGGGCTTCAAGAAATTCATCAGGAGAGACTTCCTTCTGGACGAGGCCAACGGACTGCTACCGGACGACAAACTCACGATATTCTGTGAGGTATATACCTTTGTATGTCGATTGTAACACTTACTCGATCTCGTTACTCGCGCATTCTGTGCGCCGAGCGAGCACCTCTAACTCACGTTTGCTTCTCAGGTCAGTGTAGTGGCGGACAGTGTAAACATCTCCGGCCAGAGTAATACGATACAGTTTAAAGTACCGGAATGTCGGCTGCCCGACGATCTTGGGCTACTGTTTGAGAACCAAAAATTTAGCGATGTAACGCTCACTGTCTGTGGAAGAGAATTCCAGGCGCACAAAGCGATTCTCGCAGGTGAGACCGAAATAATCTCCTTTCTTAAATTATAATATCTTAAATTTGATTATACGATTAAAATAAAAAAAGGAAAAATTGCAACATGCAAAAATATAGGCAAAATATTCTTATTCCTTCGAATAAAATTATAAATAAAATTATGATATTATAATATTATAAAATTAAAACAAAATAAATAATTTTGCAAATTATGCGATTTGCAGCACGAAGTCCCGTCTTCTCGGCGATGTTCGAACACGAGATGGAGGAGAGAAAGCAAAATCGTGTGGACATCACCGACGTGGATCATGAAGTTCTAAGAGAAATGTTGCGATTTATCTACACCGGTAAAGCGGCGAATCTGGAGAAAATGGCGGATGATCTATTAGCTGCGGCGGACAAATACGCGTTGGAGAGGCTGAAGGTAATGTGCGAAGAAGCACTTTGCACGAGTTTAGCCATTGAAAACGCAGCCGAAATCCTCATACTTGCCGATCTCCATAGCGCCGATCAACTGAAGGCACAAGCGATAGACTTCATTAATACGTAAGTTACCACGTGTTGCGAAATTCGCACGACGACTCGTCGGCGAAAGAGAATTTTGCTCTGCCAAGAATCAAAATTACGTTCTTTGGCTGCGCGAATGAACGTGACGGAACTCGCGATTGCTAATTCGTGCGTACGCTTTTTGCAGACACGCGACAGATGTGATGGATACCGTAGGTTTCAAGTCCATGGTGAACTCTCATCCGCACCTGATAGCAGAAGCCTTTCGGGCTTTGGCGACTCAGCAAATCCCACCGATCGGACCGCCCAGGAAACGAGTGAAACAAAGCTGAAAGCAGTCACCGCTTACCCCGGGCACAACCTCCACATCGCCCCCACCACTTTTGCATCCCTCTTGAACCTTTGTGTACAGTGATATAATGAAGTATAGTAGTGCTAAATAAATGTTTCCTAGTGCGCCATCCTCTGGTCTAAAAGAAAATTGACGATGAAAACCGACGCGAGAACCAACCGACTGTCAACAAGCTTTGGTTGAGAATGTCCAGAGATCGACGGGAGGAAAAAGAGAACCATCTTGTTCGTTCAGTCGATCGAGGGCGAGTTTTTGAAAGAGCGCTCCCACGCAATGCTCGGACTGTTGTGTTCAAGTAAGTGTCGGTAGTGAGAAGTACTCGGCGTGATGCGACCACCACTATCAGCGCGCTGCTCGTTCCATCTCCGCACGTCGAAGAAAAAGAACGAGACATCCGAAAGCCTACGTACCCGCTCACCCACGTCCCCAACATCCCCATCAACATGCGAACAATACTTCTCGGCCGGCCTGAGCGCGAATCGATCCGGCAGCAACAAAAGCAACAACATCAGCAGCACTACAGTCGCAAAATGCGCTCGTTTCCTTCAATGCCAATGCCGATGCCAATTGATCTTGATGACACATTGGCACGTGTTGTCAGGGTTATCATCATCAATCATCATCATGGACTTGCTTTCGTTTCCGTTATCATCGAATGAACGGGCCGGAAGCGCTGTTAAAGATACGGAGTATGTAGCCAGAGAGGACCAAGGAAAGGCGAGGAACTTCTCTCCATGTGACTCGCCGCCGCGATTGCCGTAACAACAGCAACAACAACGCGCGATGCACGAAGGAAGTTGTGATAGACGTCGGCCAGACGATTTAAACATTTTTGTTCCTTTGTCGAAAGAAAGAAAGAAAGAAAGAAAGAAAGCATGAGAAGAAAACATGGATCAAACGGATATCCCGTAGCGCCGTATGCTCGACGCGTCGAGCACGGAGAGAATTAGATACTTTGTTTGTTTCTACCGATAGTAGTGATCTTTTTTTAGTTCTAGCGTGTCTCAAATTCTTCCAAGACGGAGAAATCATTCTAGTTAGTGTTCTTTTTTTATGATCTCTTTCTCTGAACCACACATGTACGATTATTATTATTATATTATTATTACTATTAATGCTACGCAATCTGTGCCCTATGTATTTTTGTATATTTTTGTCTACAGATAAAGGAACTCATCTTATCCCCCTCCCCCCTCCTTTTGCCGCGAGAAACCCTAATTTCCCTTTCCTCTGTCCCTCTATCAGTAGGCACAGTTTGTCTTGTTTTCTGGAGTATTGCATACTGTAAAGTGATAGGATCGAATTATTATTATTATTATTATATGTAATGATTATGTTATTAAATTTAAGGTTGTCCATAATTTATCGGATTTATTATATATTGAATATCGCGGAGATCCATCATATATCTCCGCTCGCATTAAATTTTTTTTTTTTACAAGCGTTACGATCCACAATTCAAAGTTGGCATATTATTAAATACGTATTATTAAATAAAAATGGACGAGAAGATGAGAAAAGAACAGGACATATTAACAAGAATCGTGTTAAATAGTAATGTTAGTCAATTATAGCGCGGATGTTAATCGTTCTTTGATTTTCCTATTCATGTCGTTAATTTGATCGAGCTGTAAAATTGCGTGTGGTCAATGAACTGAATTATGGGCAACCACAGAGGCGAAAATAATAATCAATCGTTTAGTACCGTGTACTGGCTTCCTGATCCTCCGATCTTTAGCTTTATCGAAAGCCGAGTTTTAAATATGTGGAATACTTATTACCATTTACACATCATTAATGATGACAATTAATGCCATACATGTTCTGTGATAAGACCACTTGTAATTACTGCAATTGTATAATCGATCCTTTCTAGAGACAGATCCCCATCCCCCTTTCCCTCCCTGACGATCCTGGCAGCCAGTGAATTTACTTGTTATATAAAATACATACGATAAGCGACAGTCGTTATCCGGACAGTCCCAAACCTAGCGTCACTCTCGATTTTAAGGTTTTACACTGTACATATCTGCTGTGTATTTT